TTTCGAACACTTGGCAACCTTGTAATTGCTTGTCATTAACAAGCATGCCCTAATGTGACATCCCATTTTAGCATTCTCTCTGAGAAGGTCTTTTTTTCTCCACTGCAGCAAGGAGATGAAGACTGGGTTATCCAGAAGAAGCAGGTGTTGCAACGTTGCTCCCCATGGAGGCTATTTCAATACCCAGACGTCATTAGCACTGAGATACAGTACGTTGTAGTACAGTAAATGCGTCACGTTGCACTGGCTTCCATGGCACTCTAGTGCATCCTGCAATGTATCATTGCAGGTTTCTGTCAGCAAAGGTTGTTTGAAAGGGAGGGACTTGGTTCCATAAGCAGGAACTGCAGAGCAAAAGGGAAGATGGTAATCTTTTCTTCCTCTTTTTTTCTGCCCCCTTTCATAGACGTTGTTTTTTTTCACAGGCTTGGCACTGAAATAAGTGAAAAATATTCCAAGCTCAGGTATCACTGTAAGCAGTTTAGTAATTGTATAAACAGCAATATTCAATGAATGAGCATTATAAGGAAGTGTAAGCAAGCACACTGAGCTACATCTAAGTCTATGATGATGTACCAGTGCCTTGCAACCAGCTAATGGTACTATTTCTGCACATGTAACATTTTACTAGGGTGGAGGCAGACAGAATATGAATGCTCCAGTTTTACAGCAGAGGTACCCACCTTAGGATGACAGGATAATTCAATGAAAAAGGACCTCAGGAGGATCTGCTAGGTCACATGAGATAGATTAAGATTTGACTGTTGTGTTTAAAATAACTGCTTTATTATTTAACTCCCTCTGTCAAGCTGTCTCCTCCAACACAGAACATAATTTCATTCAGGTTTACAGCTGAATAACATCATTTTAAGCCTCAACTGAAAGGAAACTGTAAAGCCCTCTGCTGAATTAGGCTGGGTTTTTGCAGCTTTGCTACACTGTTTAGTAAAATTTGCTATCAGCAACGCAGGAGGCACTGAATAATCTAATTGAGTGGCAAGGCAGGACAGTGCTGTGAGTACAGCAAGGAGGAAGACACAAACCTCTGGTATACAGAGTAGAAACATGAAAGTCCAAAGAGAGAGAAGCTCTGATGGAGAAATACGAATTATTCCAACTAGCATCTGTTTTGCTGCATGCAGAACTTGTATCACTGTTTTTAGCACAAGTTGCAGTTTACACAGCACAAAGCATTTCAGTTTTGTAATAAGGTTTGCAAAAGAAGAGGATAATTTTATCTAAACCTATTTACCTGTCCCTAGCTATTAACCCAGCAGGTCTCAGATGCCAAGTGGAGACTCATTTAGCATCTCTGCCTTCACATTGCCTTAGCAATTTCTTTGTTACTAGAGGACGAGAAAAAAGCTGTCTTAGCGAAGGGAGAGGCATGCCCCCCATGTCTTAATAAAACAAATTCCTCTGGGTTTGGCCTAGCAGTTATGTTTCCATCGCTGTGCAAGAGCCCCAGATTAATTCCTGCTCCAGTGCTTTGCTGGGAGGGCCAGCAGCAGCGGGAAAAGGTGATGCAGCCACTTGATATCCATCCTCAATGACTGTGGAGCAGAACACTGGGTGAACAAACACAGAGGGAGGAAGAAATCCTGGGCTTTTTTGAGGGCACTGGAGTGGTCCTCCGGTTTAACGAGGGAAAGGCATCTGAAATGACACACCCTGCTGGGTGAAATGCAGGAAATACAACGACATATTATTTGCTGGAAATGAAATATACATTTTTTAAATGTGGCTCTCAGTGAAAACCAAGTTTTTTAAATTTCAGGCAATGTATGTTTTGTGGTTGTTGGGACCCAGCACAGCACTCCTCGCAGAGCTTTAAATCATTTTGCATGAATGCAAAAGCCCTCTCTGCTTTGCTGAATCGGGAGACCTCCAGAAAAGCCTGAATGTGAAAAGAAAAGTAACAGCTGAAAATTCCAGCCAGAGACTTCGAGTTTTCCAAGGCCTGTTTGCTTTGGCCTTCCTCTGCCATTCCTTTCTCTCTTTCTTTAGAAGTGTGAAACGGGTTGGTTGCTGGTATTTGCTCTGCGGTCTGTGCTAACTGTTCCATCTGTGTAAACTTCGACTTGCCAGCCTGGGAGTTTAACAACACTTTCCCTTCAGCTGGAAGGAAAATGAAAGCTCCGTTAAGTGGCACTTTGAAGCTTTGCAAAACATGCTGCGTGGAGTTTGAAGAAAGAGAGGGAAGGCCAAGCCTGCCCAGGGCTCCGTGGGGCTGCAGACCCGGAGCACCCCTGGGATGCTCCAAAGTGCTTTAGCAGATTAAGAAGCCCAAGCCCAGAGAAGTGCTCTGAGAGCCAAGTGATCTATGAGTCTAGCAGGGGTACTTCGTCACTTGTTACCAAGATTCTGAAAGTGTTCAGGCTCCAAAACAACCTATTAGGCACCCAAGATAAGACTAAATGCCTAAATATCTCAGTGGGTCCAGTTTCCAGCAGGTGTCACGCAGTTGCTAAATTTATTATGCTAGATGTTCGGATTAGTCCCCAGGTGAGTCCAGTTCCTCTCTGCACATCTAGCTCAGCTGTGCCCAGGTTTGGTTGCCTCTGATTCTTAGCACAAGGATTGCTTCTGTATTTGGACTGTCGCTTAGGTTGCTACAGCCCTTCATACTGGTGATTGCCAAATTGTGCCTTAAATGCAAAACCATCCACTGGACATCTTGTCATCATTGCCAGGTCTTGGCGAGTATTGGAGTAACCAGCCCTGGACAGTAGACAGACTTTACTCTGCCCCACCGCATTGGGTTCAAAGGAAGACTGATCTCATCCTAGCAAGGCTTTGACTTAATATTCAGCACTGTTGGACCAGTTCTAATTTAGAGATAAGCACTGATCAACTATTATTTAAAAATAAAAATAAGAAAAATAAAAAAATCCCTGATTAACTCCACCTAGATTTCAATGCTGTCACCCCTTTATTTCCACAGTGACAAGTGAAATGCTGTTTTGCCTCCCCTTTTCACACTACTTTTCTTCTGATCTGTGTTTTATATTTGTCCTTCTTAGGATTCTTTCTCCCTGCCTTGAATGTACTCATTAACCTCAATAGCTTATGACTACACTCCCCTTCCTCTTTTTTTTGGTTTTGTTTTTCTTTTGTTTTTGTGTGTGTTTGTGTGTTATTTGCTTTTGTTTCCTGACAGTGTGCTTCGTAAGGGTTCATTTTCAAATGTTTAACTGCCTGCATGTAGCTAACAGAGAAAACAAAAGCTGTAAAGCTAACACATAAGTAATACTTTGAAAATGTGTCGTAAAATTCAGGATCTATTAATATCAGCATAGGAGAGGGGTAAATTTGCTCAGAAAATCTTTCTGTTGCTGAGAAAGCAGAATTCATCAGATTCTCTGAAAATAATGTTTCAGAACATTCACGTGAACTTCCAGCAGCTGAGAACTTCAACTGTGTTTACTTCTAATAAAAACAAACAAACAAACAAACAAACAAACAAAAAAAACCACCTGATTTTTTTTTCATAGTAAATTTGTAGCAGAGGTGATTGTAAATGTATCAAAGAAAAAACCTACAAATAACACTGGAAGTATTTTTGAAGACCACTTTCAATAAATATTTCCAATTTACTGAGAATTATTTTTCCCTGACATTCAAAGCAAACAATCACTAAACATTTTCATTTTTTTTTAATTTGCCTTTCCATCACTGCCTTTTCTTGTTTTAAAACTCATTGTCTGCAGTCATTTCTTACTTTGGCTGCAACATCTTACTTCTGCAGAAATACATTTCTATTCAAAAAGTCCAACCAGCTTTTCCCTGTGACAATTCAGATCTCTTCAAGAAATATTAGTAAAATGTCTTGTCACTTTGCTCCTGCTGTAGGTAACCAGACAAGTTTGTTCTCTGAAGAAATCTCCGTTGCATAATGCAGACACCTTCAATTTTTCTGCAGTTGAGCTCAAAAGCCAACTCACTTTAACCAAAGAAAGGTCACTTGTGCGTTTGCATAATATAAAATATATTTGCATAAATCAAGCTGTGACTTCCTACATTACATTGATCTTGAGTGCATATTCTGTTTTTCATGGTGACGTGGAATAAGAGGCGTCAAGAACCACTCAGAACAGTGCCTGGTTTAAGCACAGTCCCACAGTGAAATGAACATAGATCATTCCCTGAGGTTACCTGAATGCCCACAGATGTCAATGAGATCACAGAAGACAGTTCTGCTTCTGCTGACCTCACTATCACGAGAGAGATTTTTTTTCCCCTTTTTTTCCTGATTTTGCTGTGTTATGTACTCTGTTCAAGTCATGGAAGCAAACCTGTAGGTGTACAGAGATCCACAGAGAATGAGAATCCAGATTTAAGTAGTCAAGATTTGCCAAAATCATCAGTAAATGAATGCACCTGAAATTTTCTTACAATACTCCAACTTAATACGGATGGCAGAGGAAATTGAAGCTCTCCCGACTCTTGGAACTTGAGCTTTCATACAAATTTCATCTTCCAGGAAATATCTAATAAAGTCACTCCAGCAGGCATGGTACGAATTGCCAATATATTCAAAAGCATTGCACAGGTGCCAAAGTGAGGACATGCCAGGCCAGCCTCAGCCAGTCCAAAGCAATGATAGCACAGAGTCCTGCGCTAGGAAGCCAAGGGGCAGGTCATGCTCTCTGGACTGACCTTTGCCAAAGCTTCTTAAGAAGCCCTCTAAGCAGGTCTAGTCTGGCTCTTTACATAAGCTGCACGATTACTTTCACCCCCTAATCTGCTTACATGTGAGATTTATGAAAGATGGATCTTAAAGGCACTTTTTTATTTTTATTTTTATTTTTTCTTTTTGAAGAGTGTATGGTAACTATTGAGTCACTGCCTGAACCACTGACAGCACCTGGAGAAAGGATCCAGTCTGCCTTGGAAACACATGTGAAGGCAATTCACCTCTATGACTGAAGGAGGTTTTACCTCTCTTAGACCTCATTTAAGGGCTGACTGCCACCCTAGGAGGATCTCTTCTAGAAGAGATCCTTCCCTTGCGGAGTTTCTCCTGTGAGCCTAGATCTTCAGAGACAGGTGAGTACTTTTGCTTTGTAACGCCTTTCCATCTGTGCTAGTCCCTTTGTCATTACACCTCCTGTATTGCCATTCCACTGCACTGATCTTTCAGATTGTTACAAGGAAGAATCATTTTATTTGTTATCACGGTTAAAGACTGTTTTGCATTGGCTTTCTGTTTGTTATGTCACCACGGTAAGCAGCAGAAGGCATGGCTAGCAGTGTATAACCTTTTCATTCATTTGAATGTCTATCTGTTAGCTCTCAGAAATAACTGCTGTCAGCTCTGCTTGTTAGAGTGGAAAGTGAACTTCTCACCCAGCCCTCTTGTTTTTGGGTACAGCTGATGTTCACTCTCACAAGAGTGATGCACAACAGGGCCCATAGCATCAAACCACCTCAGTAACACAGGTCACCAGTTAACTCAGAGCACTAAAACAAGAACAGGCTAGCAGAACCTCATGCTAATTATCAGCATATGATGAGTTAATACTCTGATTACACCTACTTAATCTGTGCAAGGTGGGCTCATAAAGCAGATAATAATCATCAGGAGACACAAGAAAAATGCAAGAGGAATTATTGGAAGCTGGAAAAGCTTTTCTGGGGTGTGTGTGTAGGGGGTGGGGGGGGAAAAGGCTTAAATTTTTTTTCTTTTTTTTTTTTCTCTCTCTCTTATGTTACTTGTGCCCCTGGTATTTTATTATTTTTATTTTTTTAGACCAATGCTTAGGCTAAAAACCAGCTATTTGCTATTATGGCACATGCATTCCAGAGTATGGGAATTACCAGGGCAAAGACAAGCGGTCACCACAAGGCCAAAAACAGCTAGTGCTGTTTTTGGATTCAGCAGCTGGGTGATTTCATGGAGGTGGCCAGGCCGTAGCTCTCCCTTGTGCCTGGCTGTGACATGCTGTGCGACAGCTTGGGCATCCCTCTTGCTACTGCTTTCTCCTCTGCCTGGCTGCGTGCTGCCTCAGAGGCTGTGTGGTCAGCTTCACTTGGCACAGCTCAGTGGAAGGTTTTGCAGAAGTACAGGGCTGTGATGGTGCTGGCATGACAAATAAAAGCAAAGCATCCACTGTCTTAAGCACAAAGCTGTTCATTACTTGCAGCTGTGGCAGGCTTCAGGGGACACTGCTTGATGGCTAGCTGTGCAGGTCACTGAGTTGAGGAGAAGAGCAAATACTTTGTGCCAGGTTTTGATCCTCTGATCAGACTAGAGCATATCAGGGGAAGTCCTACCAGAGTCACGCAGGATTTGGCTTCCTGTTTCTGGAAGCACTGCTCCAGCAGGAGTGAGCTGCTGGCAGTTCTGCACCTGAGCAAAGCATTATTGAGATCTACCATACCTGTCACTGACAGGATAGCAATAAGCAATGGAACTGAAAGGAGGAGACAGCTCAAAGTCAAACATCTGATGCTTCTGAGGTGCGTTTCTACTCCAGTACTGCCAACTTTAGATATCTGAATTAACAATTTAGGATTTGTAACTGGACTGGATGTATGGTAAATCCTTGCTGGTGCTAGCTGAAAGCATGTTGTAATCAAACCAAATCAACCGCATGTTGTTGTTGTAGTTGCAATCTCACAACAGTAACAGTGACCTGACAGCAGGGCCTTTTCTGAGCATTAAAGATCCTTAGGATGCTGATTGTTCTGAGGCAGTTATGAACCCATGGAGTTTTTAAAAGGATCCATTGCTGCCTGCTGAAGCTCAGATGGAACAGTCCCAGAAGACATGAGCGTGGCCTCTGTCACCCCATGCATTGCTTCCCAGCCAAAACTGGCTTCTTCTGGCATTTTTAACAGCATCTTTGTTCTCACTGAAAGCATTCTTCCTCTGCGGTTTTGTAGAATGTTGCCTTCCGTGCTGGTAGGGCCAACATAAGGGGAAGTAGGTGGGGAAATGCCACTCCTGTTCCTCTGCCAAAAGCAGAGATGAATTCCGTTTTCTATCTTTAATATGAGGGGAACAGCATTCCCTCCTGCTTCCTTTTCCTGTGTGCTCAGTGAAGAGAGCCTCCAGCTCTGGCCAGTTCCAGCTGGAGGACAGGGAGCAGGTGGCCCTTGGGCAGCTCAAGGGCATTCTGAACTTCTCCTTCTGTATGCCTGCCCTCGCTGAAATCTCAGGAGGCTTGCACTGCAGTGCACGCAATAAGAATCAGGCCAGCGGAAATGCACAGGCACTTAAAACTTCATTTAAAAACAAACAAACAAACAAAAAAACACCTGCCTTTGAATGACTACTAAAAAGGAAAAAACATTTTAAACATGGTTTCCAGGATTTTGAAGGCATTAGGAATGTTTTGGCACTTCTGTTGTCCATAGTATGCTGCCCTGGTGTATTTCTTGAGTCACAATGGTGATGTTTTAGCTCCTGGCTAGATACTTATCAGACAAATATCCCAGAATGCAGAAACAGCAAGTCATTAGCACAACTTGGAAGAAAAAAAGTAAAACCAAACTAAATACAAAATAAAGCAATATCCTACAAAAAAGTGATCTATCTGATACCAGTATTCTGCTGGAGGCATCTCCATTAAGCTCCAGTGACAACAGATGGAAGATGGGACACAGAGAGGCCTCTAGGAAAGATTCTTTGAGCCTGTGCTAAAGTTGCTTTTAACTACAATTAGAAAGTCAATTAGAAAGTCATTTCAGCACTAATGAAACAACAAATGATTTATGCTTAATGTGCTTGGCAGGCAAGCCAGCCCAGTAAATACAGCTGAATTTAAAAAAAGGCAATTCAAAGTTAAAATATGTCAGAAGTTTGCAGTTTTGTGTGAGTGTAGAAATGTATACATATATATGTTTTCCAAGTTAAAAGTGTTTCTGTTTTGAGCTGCAACTGAAAATACCTTTAACAGTGCAGCTCATGCTTCCACTGGTTCTGTGCAACCTGACATGGGTGCATGTGGGCAAGTCCAGCTCCACAAGGCCCACATCCCTGCTGCATTCAGATCACCTCAGTCCAGGTCAGCTGACAGGTGGTCTTTTAGCCTCTTCTGCAGGTAGAAGTGTGTGTTCTGTGCGGGAGCGGAGTGAAGGAAGCATAACAATATCTATTGTGTATATATTTGTACCTGTCTCTGCCTTGGAGAGTTGATTGTGTGTTTTAATTATCTCAGAGGTTTGATGAGCACAAGGACTTTTCTTTGTTTTGCTGTAAGCCTAGTATGACCTGAATACAGCTATCCTTTTTGCAAGGAAAATGAAAGGTCTGAGGTCTCCTTCTCATTTGCAGAGAAGAATGTCAAAAATCAGTCCCTGGTGACAGTTCCCTCACTACAAACGCAGTGCAACTCCACTGGACACAGTCGAGCTCTTTCTACTCATGTAGCCTGTGATGTGCTCAGTTTGTCACTGGAACATCTGTGCCATTCTCCAAGGTGACAGTGTGAAGATGCCAGATCAGTAGCTATTACCTTTGGCCCTGGACATGCACACACAGTTGTTACATGAAGTTTAATCATGCTTATTACTTCCCACCTAGGGGTCTCAATGTGATTTAAAACCAGACTCTCAGTGCCTGATCGTCTCAGAGCCAACCACTTCCTAGAGGTCTTGCATCTGGAGGTGATGCTTCAAATAACATATGTGATCAGTGTGGGTACCAACAGACTGAAACATTTCCTTAAGGTTGCTTACATGTAGCATTCTTTCATCACAAGAGGCTTTTTCTTTCTTAATCCAGGAATATGAAGGCTGCACCTTACATGTGTTACAGGCTTAAGCTGCACTGATAACATACCACCTTACTCCTGGGACGCACCAGCCAGGTTTTTCTCACAATGCATTTGGTCTGTCTCTAGGGAGGCTGCTGTAAAATGATTGCTGAACCCATCTCTAGTTCACTCCTGCTAATTAAACACCTCTGGTTCAGTGTTCTCTCTTTCTGTCTTTTTTTTGATCCAAAAGGATATTATTTTTAGCTCTGGAGGGTTAAAGGGGAAGGGAATTGTGCCAGAATCAGGTTGTTAGGAAATGGGGAGAGAGGAAAAAATGCCGGGGGTGGGGGAGATCTCTAATGATTAAAATTCCAACTAATAATAAGACAGAAAGCTCTGGTGCATGGGCCCAGCCTAAATTAAGCTCCTGAATTAGGAGTGCTTTCCAAAAATCCCTCTTTAGACAATTTAATTAGGCGACAGGTATTTCCGGAGTCACGCGGTGGTTCCATTTGGCAGTAACTAAAGACTCCAAGAATTTTTACCCTAGAATCCAATGAAGCAAACAAAACAAAACATACAGCAGGAGACAGAGAGTGGCATGTTGGGAAGCTGGCCTGGCTCAGCACCATGGCAGCATCCCCTCACCCCCTGCCCAGCTCTGCTAATAAATGATCTGGTGGAACAGTCCCATTGAGGAAGCCGGGAGGTTGATCTTGAGAGGATGCTGATAGAATCCATATCCCTGCTCTGCATGCCATAGCCTATTGCTAATTGTGGGGTTATTAGGGAAAGAGATGGGAAGGGATTGTGGTGTCCAGTCAGCTTTATGCTGTCCCCATGCTCTGGTGCGGCCGTGAAGGGATGCAGGATCCCAGCCCCACACTGACAGTAACAAGAAGAGGTGAGGCCAGTGTGCTGAATGTCTGGGAGAGGGGAAGAAGGGCTGGGAATGCGAGAAAACCCTCTTGCTTACCCAAGCCATCAAGCCTCTTATTAATTTATTTTAATAATAATTATTTATTCTAATAATAGTAGTAGAGCTAATAAAGCTAATGATTTCATTTTATGGTGAAAAAGATTTTTTTTTTTGGCCCTTGAAAGCAAGACTTATTCTTCTCCCTCCAAAACATGCACACATACCTGGCTACATTGAAGAGCACATAGCGACACAACATATTAGATGTATTATTTTAATCTGGAAGGTATCAGATGCAAAGATGACTATAATATCATAGGCCACATACAGATAGGAAAAGTGAGAATTTCCCAGAAAATATTCCTTTCAGCTACATGGAATTTTTTTTAGTTCCTTAATCCCACTTCCATTTCTTGGAAACTCTACATGTGTGAACGCATTCTCTAGACTTTCTTGGAATGACAGGGACAGAATTAAACACAGGAATGTTCAGAGGAGTGTCTGAGGTACTCAGCTTATGCAGAACACTATTCTGTGTGACATCATGAAGTGATCTCAGAAGTCCCTTTTGGAGTGTAATGTTTTCACCAGCAGGCTTTCAGATACCAAGGACTGAATGGACAGATGACCTGAATAAACCTGACTCCAAGTTAAGCAGAATGAGTGGAAACTTTGAAAATTCTGGCATCGTTGATTCTTAAGAATTTTTTTATGTGCAGGAGTCAGCTTAGTGCTCATAGGAAGTGCCCTTGTTTCTCTGGGTGTTCTAACCTTTAGCAAGCAGTTTCTATTATCTATTAGTTATTGCCAGGAAGAATTGTCTAATGTGTCAGGAAATGGCATGGGTATGTACGCCTTCAGCCAGGCATTTTGGCCTCTGTGCAGTCCTATGCCTCTCCTCTTGAGCAGCCATCTGAGTGGCCAGATGAGGAGGATGCTGGGGTTAAAGCATCAAGTCTTGCATCAAATGGACAAACAGTATTTCAATTCATTTCTGCTTGTAGACAACTTTGAAATTATTCAAAGGCATCTCTGTTCCCATTTAACATACAAAAATTATATTAAAAAAAACCAACCAACTGGAGGGATACCTCTAGAGGCAGGGGTTATTGCCCCACACTAATTAAACATCCACTGATTCCTAAAACAAAAGAAAACACTCATGCTTATTGAGATTTTACTGTGATATTCAATATAACATGGATCTATTGTATGGTTTAATCCTCTACAAATTTGCATTTAATAAAGGATAGTTAATATACAAAAGATTCATTAAGCAAATGTAATCAGATGGAAGAAATCATTGGAAGTGGGGAAAAAGGTAAATTAATGGTTAGTTGAAAATCAGACTAGACAAAGCTCTAGCCACTGGGTTCAAGGGTACTTACTGAACTCGCATGGAACAGTTCCAGCTCCATACCTCTGCGCAGAAAACCACGTTGTGCTGCTTGTGGGATGCTATGGTGACCCTTATAGATCCCTTACAGATCGTGCTGCTGTGAAGCTTATTTCAATTGCTTTGAGCAATAAAACAGCTCCTCTGAGCAACCTGCAGCACATAGTCCTTCCAGTGCTTTGTATGAAGTTAGCTCTTCCACACTAAGGGAGACCTAGTGCAAGCCTCTGCCTTGATGAACTTCATTTTCTTCTGTACATCCCCCCCTTAGATATGAATGGAAGTGGTCATTTTCTGAAGTCTTTTCTTGTACCTGCAACTAATACCAGGTTGGTATTTAATTAAGGAGGTAATTAAAAAATATAGTTAAAAATATCAAGTCCTTTTTATGTGATAGATTTTTTTTTTTTCCCCTCACTGGCCAGCATATAATTGAAAATACTAAAAATAATAATAACAATATTTTAAATCTAACTTGTTTTTCATTTTGTTGACAAGGGAAACATTGAGGTCTCATGTATTTATACAGCTAAGACATTTTAAAGTACCATTTGGAACAGTAACTAAGTCCAGGAGTCCAGACTGGAAAGCTTTAGTCCAGAAACTCTGCTTAATATGTGCTTGATGATATGTACTGAGAAATCATTGCCTGGAGAAAAAAAGAAAAAAGAAACAAAGACAAACACTGAGAGAGAAAAGAAGGAAAAAAAATCACCTCTCAGCTCTCACTTACCTGAATTACAGCTTCAAAATCCTTCCCCCATATTCATGATATGCATTACTGTTCAACCAAGTGTTTTGTTTCCCATGGTGTTGCCAATTTGGAGAGTAAAACATTAGGGCATGTAAAAAACAATGAATCCTCCACATTAATTGTTTATTTTTCATTTGGTTTCTGCCTGACACGACATCTTCCATCTGAGAAAGACATTAGCACTAGGAAGACAGGCACTGAATAAGCGTTTTGCTGGAAGTGGGACGTGTTTGCTTTCTTTGGAAGGTGAAAGTAGTGGAAGAAATAGAATTTGACAATAGAGTAAAACTGCAAAAAAAAAAATCCACCTACTCCGGGGGGGGGGGGAGGGGGGGGACAAGCACATGTTTCTTACCATAAAGACCTCTGTTCAGAACTCCATGCATACACACATCTCTACAGCTCAGCAGCTGTCATCTCAGTTCTGTCATAGCAATGCTGTGGATTCAGAGTCTGTGAGATTTTACTTCATATGACTCTATCATTTTGTGTTGATACATTTGTAAGTATTATACATTTATGTATATAATTTAATGTAAGTTGGAGAAAAATAGCCTTGTACTTATCAGAAAGCCCCAGAGTTCCTTGTGTGCAGCAGGTGATGTGCCCTGTCCCACATGGCTCAGCCAGAGTCCCTCAGCCTTGTTCCTCTATGCTTTTCCTGCTATTTCCACCTAATTCTCATCATGTCTTTCAGATTAGACAGAATCGCATCCCCTTACACCTTGGTGATGCTGCAAAAAAAAGTTTAAAACAAACAAACAAACAAAAAAAACCAGCAACAAACAACCCACGCTGCACTGCACTCTTTTGGATATGTTTGATTTGCATGATCCGTCCTCATACTTTTTCTCTGCTTTGTGCTATGCAAATATTTGAGGCAATTGAGTGTCACTTGTGTAGAAGGATAAACTTCAAGTGGCTGCTTTCAGAAGTCACTTTGCTAATTATCCTCTCTTCAGGAGACTCACAGAAGATGGAAGCCAAGAATAAATTGCCTTTAGGTTTTGGGCATGGAGAACTCGTGACAATTTTTGTTACATAAAGAATCATTCCTCTAAAAAAAAAAAAAAAAAAAAAGGCTGGAAAGCAACTCTTGAGATTGTGTGGACTGTAGGCTGGCTGCTCTCAGTGAGTGTCTCCTGTCAGATGGTTATTTAACCTGCTCCTAACGGTTTCCAGCATCAGAACATCTCCATGTGCTGCAGAAGGGGAATATGTCCCTCCTGTGACCTCGGCTTGTGCCCATGTTTCCTGCACTGGATGCACTGCTCAGGGGGAATGGGTGAGGTGTGAAATTCCTCTGAGTAGAGATGATGTTTTATGACACTTAGTCTCTCTTTTGGTTACAATTCTTTTTTTTCTATTTTTTCTTTTTTTTTTTTTTTTCCACCAGGAAGTAAAAAATTTGCTCTTGGCTTTTAGTACCAGCAAAGAAGAATCCTTTCCACTGTGGCTCAGAACAAGCTGGTCAGACAGCACAAAGGTAAATCCAAGATCTCGCTGTACCCTTGCTGTTCCCTCTTATTGTGCTCAGTTTCCACTCGGCATTTGTTACAGATTCAGGACTAGTCAGACCTTACAAAAATAAAAGGAACTTCTTGGCCACCTGCTTTAGGACACTGTCTGAGATAGGCAAGGAAAGAAAATCAAATACAACCACTGCACCCAGCCAGCAGGTCTCAGGAGGGCCAACTGCTCCTCTAAGATGCTCCAAATTTAAAACTCTCTTACCATGTGTATCAGAGTCAACTCCCTCAGTACCTATAATCAGAAAAAATTCTTCAGACTTTCCTCCTGACTTGCAAGATTTGTATCTGTCCACTTGTAAGGAGAAATGATGCCTTGTGAGCCATGTGACCAAGCTATTAACTAAATCAGACCTTATTTTGAATACAAAGTAGCATATCCTCTCAGAGATCTGTTTGTAATCAGTCAATATTATTTATTTTTGAAATGGTAAAAGAGACCATTGAGTAAATCTGAATAAGAAATAAATTTGGAGAAATTGCAATCAGCCTCTGAACATTTTGCAACCAAGGGGAAAAAAGAAACAGAGCAAATTAATTGATTAAATTATTTGCTGCAAGAAGCTCTCGTTATGATCCACTTCTAAATCTCTTCAGTATTTTGGTAGCCTCACACCTCAAGCCTGACCTGAATCAAACTCTGCTGTTCCAATCAGGACTCTTTAATGGAAATTGCCAGCCATATTCAATTAAGTGATGATTTTGCATTGTCGGCAAATGATCATGAAGGGAGCAGGCAGATAACATAGGCTTCGTTTTCACTTGCAAACAAAGTCAAATCTTTAGATGCAATACAGACTGATGTGTTTGCCCTTTGCCTTGCTTTTTTTTTATTTTTGCTTCCCACTCCCTGGACAATGATACAATTCTCAGGAAGATGCTTACCACACACACTTGCTAAGTTTCTAGTTTTCCACCTACTGAAGAAGTGCAAGTAACATCTGATCAACTGTAGCTTAACATCCAGGGACTCTGCTCACGAGATTCTTGAGGATGATAACAGATGGGGGCTTCCATCTGGACCAGAATAGCACTGAAGGTTGATCTCAGCATGGTACATCCCACACTGCGAAGCATTCACCAAGATGCTCAGCAGACCAAACTTCATGTGCAAGGGGCCCATCCTCTGAAATAGCTTCTTGATTAGTGCGTTTGAGCTCAGCTTATCTGCCAGGAAGGAAGGAAAGAAGAATATCCTCTTGCTCCTTTGTACCTCCTCATATTCCAACTCAACACTCTGCTTTGATGCGTTGCTCTAAGAAATCCTTAGTCCACAGCTATAAGATATCAGGTATGTTTTATGGACAGTCTCTTGCCTCCATTCTCCTTTTCAGCTCTTTTGGATGAGAAACTTCTGGATCTTTCTGATTCCTGCCTGTTAGAATTGATAACTTGAATTTCCAGTAGATGAATTCCTGGCCACTTCAGCAAGGGGCTGGAAGACACAGTCTGTAAGTGAGTATGATGCTGGGGTTTCTGAGCCCAACTTCTGTGCGCACACACACACGCAGAACAGAAATATTGCTATGCAAATAAAGGAACACAGCAGCATCTGGCACTGCTCTGAGCCTGGTGGAAGGAAAGCTGTTGGGTAAAGCAATGGGAAGAGGGTCAACCTGAAATTTCAAATACAAAATGAGGAATGGGACCAGTTCTTGCAGATAGGGTGCACTAGACATGCTCTCTACTTCCCTCCTCCTGGTGAGCAGGGAAGAGATCAGCAGTAAGGCTGCTGGAGGCTGCAGAGGTGGTTTGATTTGGTTCATTGAGCTAGTGAACCTTAGAAAGAGTGAATTATAGGCAGTTTTGCGTAAACCACTTCGGGTGGAGAAGGAGGCAGTTGTGATTGATGCCAAGAACTTACTGAGCTGAGGTGAAAAGTGTTTGTGTATTTCAGTGTAGCGTGACATATAAGCCTTTCCAGTTACAAGGTGCTACCTAGCGTAACCGTGGCACAGGCGTTGCCTTTTCATAATGCTAACCTGTGACTTTACATCAGTCTGATGTAAAGTCAGAATTTGAATTTTTCATTCTCTTTCCCAGCAGAGTTCTGTTCCTCAATGCTGGAATGTGAAAACTGCGATAAGAAGCCATCGTCTGTCTTCACTTTTGTGTAGGCTGAGCATTTACTGCAAAAGACTGCAGTGGCTTTTCCAAGTCTTGCTTCTTTCAAAATGTCTATCTGCACCAACCCCTACACACATTGGCAGTTCCATTGCTCAGGTCCTGCTGACCTGCAGGCATAGAGTTCAGTCCTCAGCCAGCACAACAGTCAGGCACTGATGTTCCCAATGCCACTCTTCTGCTGGGAAGAAAACTGAGCTTGGTGGAAAAACAACATGCCCAGAAAAGGAACCTGCCCTTTCTCCTATTCCGAAAACAAGAAAGCTGTGGATTTGTTTCATCAGCATAACCTAAAAACAGCTGACATTGTGTCTTTGAATACCAAGGCCAAGGGGCAGAGGATTCTATGCAAAGAAGGAACACGCTAGCAGAGGATGCTACAACTTGCATTTTCTTACTATCAGGTTGCCGTCTCCCAAACAAAATGTCTTTCTAGCATTTAAAAAGCTAAAGACTGTAATATGAAAGGTTACAAAGCAGTAAAGAGAAGTGACAGAAAAACCCCTCTGACAATCCTGCATACAACATTCTGGCTAACTGATTAGGTGATGAATCCAGTCTGATGTACTCAAACTTATGGACTTCTGTTAACTCCTAGGGGACAGAAGCATTTCAGCTTTCTTTAGCAATTCGTCTAAAACGTGAGCAGGAAATTCAGCTCCAGCCTGGAATGCAAAAGGCAAATTTCCTTTGAAGCCAAGTCTCCTCTCCAAATGCAGCCCTGAGAACTACTTTTTTGCATTTTTGCGGCCTATTGCATCACATATTACTTACTGCTTTGAAAGCATGTTAATATTTCAGAGACACGCTCGAGTGTATTTGCCTATGTATCAGTGATAGACCACTTAAAGATCTTTTTCTTTTTTTAAATCTCATTGTTCAAGTTCCTTCTACCTTGATTTTATCACTTGTTGATTTTTTTGTTTTTGTGTCATAGATATAAACGCAGTTGTCGTTGGTCAATCTTTACTTTGGGATGCACACAATGAAAAAGTAAGAATTTTTTTCCCAAAAGCACTGATCCAATAAGAATAAAGCATCTTCATCATTGTTCATCTGAGGAGGTTATGCCAGGAAAGACAGTTCTAGTTTGCTGAGAAGCTCCCTTCAGCATAAGCAAATGAAGAAACACAAATTGGGCCCCATTCTATCTTCAGGCCTTTTGTGCCTTATGCCTGCCTGACTTGTATCCAAATATTTATTTTCACTGTGCTGCTGGTCAGGGTGTCTGCTGTTCCTATCAGTTATGAAGACTTGCATGCCTGCGCAGCATTACTCTGAGAATGAACAAGGCATTTGAATAAACAATATTAAAACATGGATTTTCAATCCTCTACAAAGGCATCTGTAGTAATCATGCACACAATTAAGTGAGCCATAAAATAAGATTACTATTGGATATCAATGCCGCTTTTTAAAGTGTATCTGTCCCCAAAAGGGGAAAATATACCTATTTGATCTCTTATGATATTTTCATTTTACTTTGCTGAGCAGCATTGGTGGAACTCATGCATGTGATTAAAATAAACTTTACTGACAAAGTATTTAATATAAAAGCAGTGTTTTTAAAATATATAGCCTTCTACCATAACAAGCAGAGCAAAAGAACTGTTCTTAATGTTTGATTTGGAGATTCTGAATTCATGAATGTATGAAAAGAGGACACAAGCCCCTCACAGACTAATCGGAGCTAGAGGTCATGCCATAAGTTATTGAGAAGAGTTTTCTAGAGGTGTAATATGGTTTTGAATTTGACCTATGACTTCTGAGTTGTTACCCATGACCCCAAATAATCCAACTTCAGCTTCTTGAAGGCTATTAGGAGTTGGAGGTCATGCCATATGTTTCCACATTTACAAGGTAAAGTGTTAGGGCAAGTAACAGACCACTCAAAAAATCTGTAGAAAATAACCTGGTGAACAAAGCATTGCTTGATGCTTCCTGCCTAATTGGATGTGATTTCAGACCAGCTTGTGCTTGAGTAAGCTTCTAGCAAACTCTGCTTCCTTATTTGTTTTAGTGAGAAGGATATGATAATTAGCTGCTAAATGTCTTTATATTTTTTAAAGTCAGATATCTGTTTTCTTTTTTTAAATCTGTAGAGCATGTTCTGTGCTCATATAAATGCCCAGATTTTGTATTTTGCAAGTTATCTAGGAAAAAAATAATGAGATTCGCTTTGTTCAGGCTTTTACTGTAGATTCTGATGTTGTAACTACATACATTTCTTCATGTGAGCTGGCTGTGTAGGCTCTCCTACAGCCTATGGAGAGCAGTCAACAGTTCTGAAGCACAATTCGTCTCATTTTGATGTGCTTGACTAAAATTGGTCATTAATCATGATTCTGAAATCTCTGCTTCTCTCCATTGACTCAACCATAAATGAATCATGGATGGCAGGATCCAACACAGTTGTCCACATTGTAGTTATTTGGAGGCAGGCAATATGAATCCCTGCCCAGGTTTCTAAGGAGTTCCATGCCAAAGACAGATGTCCTGTCTGGAGGAAGTTAATTCAAAACTGGATTAAATTCATGTTTCCCTCAATTTCATAGGGAGGTCTGGGACAGGAAGATTGTTACTCACTTTGTTAGCTGAATGTACTGTGATTCTCTCCAGCAATTATTGCAAAGTCATGCTAAACCCCTCTCAGATCAAGCTGATTTGGAGATCTAATAATTGATAGAATAATTTGCTTTCTAAAGACCGAAGAATATCTGACTTGAATGCCTACAATAAATTGCAGTTGTTGGCAATGAGGCTTTTAAGGTTGTAGTTCAGGAAGGATTTGTTGCACCCCTTCAAATACTGGGGCTGAATTCAGGCCACAACCTGGGGCATCTGTGAGACATTCTGTGTCAGATTCCAGCTCCTCACAACCTCTGTGAACCCAGAGGGACTGCAGGTACAAGAACATCTGTCAGCACATACACTAGTGTGTCTGAGGGCCAAAGTTGGCATCTATTTGCTGGTTTATTTTCAGGCAGATTTTGTCTAGGTCACACTAAAATATATTGAGATTGTCTGAAACACAAAAAACTAGGACCTTCAAAACATACTGAACAATTTGGAGATTTTAATACCTTGAAAACCTGGAAAACAGAAATACAATTTCTAAAACCAAATTTCACTCAATTGTCTCAGAAATACAAGCATTCAAAATTGGTAAGCTTTCAAAACATTAAACATCTTCAGGCTTTCAATACTATTTGCTGTTCACTGGGATTTTTCAACCTTCCTTTATTTCTTCCACATCTTCCATTCCTCAAAATTCTCTTATCCCATTTCCCACCTGGAAAGACTAAATACCGAGTTTAACAAAAGCAGTCACTGCTTCCATCTAAGTTTCCTCCAGTCAACACCCTACAAATGCATCGCTTTTAGTGAAGCTCCACGGCTGGTGCACGTGAGATGAGATTGTGCCTGGCCGTCCACGTGATTTCTAATGAACAGAGATGAGTGAACAGAGATGTGAAACTTTTGAGGAAAGGGGAAAAGAGAGGCAGTTCTAACGCTGAGTGAGTGGACGTGTTGCCTCATTCTTGTTCATTTTTTTTCCATCTGATGACTCAGCATCACAAGGGGAACAGTGACTCTGCCATTCTTGTAAACCCTGCCTAGTAACTCCTTCCACAAATCAAGGGGTAGGGGGTTCTTCTAAGTACAGGAAAGTGGCTGAAACTGGTTTGACATCCTAATTTGAATCCTGCTGATGTGCTGCTCTCGCCTTGAGCTTTTCTCCTACAATATGGAATGGTGGAATACACTAAAACGTGGATATCTTTTTTTTTTTTTTTCTAGATGCTCTGAAAAAAAACTACAGAAATTATTATTTCTTTGTACCCTCCAATTGATAATGGTGTAAGTAAGAATAACACAATGATCCACACCATGCTGAGGAACAGCTTTGTGTTGTGTTGCTGGATGCACCTGCCCAATGAGAAAGAAGTGACCAGTGTTAGGGAAGTTCAGCCAGTTTGAATACATGGTGCAGCTCTAGCACGATGAGTTCCTCGTAACTCCTGCCAACAGTCAGCAGAAATGATGTACAACCAGAATACTCTTCCCCTCAGCTTCAGAGTTGAAGCACACTACTCAACTGTGCCTTTTGAAAAGCATTTTGTTAGATTATCAGTTTTCATCATTGCCAGCAGTATGGTCAGTATGTGTCTGAGACAGAGCTTGGAAAGGTTGCACAGTGATGCTGAGAATGCAGATAGTGCTGCTGTCTGACAAAATATCACTGCAGAGATGTTTTAAGCCATTTGTAGTCAGGAGGCTCAGTAACAGGACATCGCCTAAAGCAGAGCTAAGTAATGGATGGTAAGCTTTTCATTCAGATCCTGGTGCCACTCTTTTATTTTCCTATAGGGAAGAACTTGATAACTTTCTGTGCAAAAACACCTTTTTTCACCCACTGTATGAAGCCCATCAGTTATGCCTGTTCTCTGGTAAAATGTTCTTCTCCTGCAGGCTGCTGACCCACCAAATTAGGAAACTAAGGGTGATCTTTTTTGCAGAAGGAAAATGCATCTGAGCTTATGTCTGAGCAAAGAAAAGTGAGAACATATTTCCAAGGAAAACAAACACACACACACAAATAGTGGTCCCAGAACAGCACTGCACTGTAATTGAGAGGGGAGGTTCTTGTGCTCTGATCCCGCGGGTGCTTTTGAAGTTACTCTCCATTCACTACCAGATTTCCCTTCCAAAGTGGGTGTCCTGTCTTGTCTTGATTGCATGATAAAACAGGAGCTCTAGTGGTTGCTTCCTCTTTCTGCAGATGTGCCTTTGGTATTCAAGGCCTCATTTTTAATTTGATCCCAAACCCTTGACTGATAAGAAGTCATTCTGCATAATTGGTCTTGTGCTTCTTTGTAACACCAACTAGTGTAAGTAAAATGAGTGCACTAAGAAAATCAGGAGTTCCAGTTGTCCCAGTTTCTAACTGGAAGTCCAGCTTCTCTCAGCACAAAAACTGTGAGACAAAGAAGCACAAGCATAGCACACCATCTTTCATATCATTTTGGTCATACCCAAATAGTGTATCTTCTATGCAGTGGGATTCAGCTGATAAAGACTTCAGCAAGCAAAGGAGGCTTAGGTTTCTGCTGGGAAATGAAGAGAATAGTGGGAAAATGCCAAGAGATTATTAGCTTAGCCAAAGATTACACACTTGCACTAGTAATTAAAGTCTTTTGCATTGGATACAGGCTTTGGCAAGTACCACTGACAAAACATTTCACACATGCATGCATGCGTGCAAGTACACAGCTCTCTCACACACACAGGCAAGCAGAGAGAATGAAATAAGCCATTAAGAAATATTTCCGCATAATGCAATTATTACAGCTGTATAATTGAATGGGGAAACCATTGATCTGTAGTAGAAAGGAAATTGCTCTTTTCATTGTGTTCCTATGAATATGTGAACATTAATCTCAATCTATAATCAACGTTCATTTCAAATCTGATTGCGTGCCACTAAACACCCGTAGCTATGCTAACATTATGTTAATACGGTTCAACATCATAGCTCCCAGCTTCACAGCACAAATATTTTTCTTTGGCAATCAATAGTAATTTCAGCTGAGTGGATGGAAGTCACGTTTTAATGGTAATCTTTCCTCCAAGCCTCCAAGTGGAAACTCGACTGGTACCTTAACACGGCTGCGGTGCATTGCATGTAATCAGATAAATTAACCTAAAAGAGGGAGAGAGAGAGAGAGAGAGAGAGAAAACACAGATCAGAAATAAAAAGCAGTGCCAAGAAGCTCTACATTTGCCTGATAGATTAAAGTGCTCATTACCATGAGAGAGGGAGAGGATTTCAAGAGGGGGAACCAAATTCCTTGGCTGGGAGCCTCGGCGGTGCTCAGTGCCCAGGGATGCTGCGAAGAGTGGGAGCAAAGCAGCTCAGGGGCACTGCTAAGTGTCCAAGCATTGGGGGCCCCATGCTTAATGCTGGGGTACACTGCAGATATAGCACTTATTCTGCCTGTACATCACTTCTTTGAGTTTGCAAAAAGGAAACGATAGTGCTTCACTGTTCCTTGGGGATGCTGCAAAGATTTTGAGGTTGTTGGTTGCTGGTAATGGGAGCTACAGAGCTGTGTTGCATTCGTTAGATCTCTCTTGGCTTTGCTGTCTCATACAAGCAGAGCTAAGTGAATTTTATGCCTGTGTACCACATTATATCAAACTGCTTTATTTCCTTACTGGAATCTATTTTTAGGTTCTTCCAAAGTTATTTTATTTTATTTTATTTTATTTTATTTTATTTCATTTCATTTCATTTCATTTCATTTCATTTCATTTCATTTCATTTTTTAAAAGGAAGAGACTACTGGATTAAGTTCCTTAAAATCTTACTTCTTTAGCAGAGAAAGCAGTGGTTTCTTATTTGTAAAATCCAAACAAAAAAAGACAAATGTGGACCAGCATAATCTCCATAGTTACTGGAGGTTCCTTCAGCTCTATAAAGGTATGCAGACATAGGAACATAAGACTAAGAGAACATCTGCACTGATTTTCATCAAGGCCTCTTTAGTCAGATGTCTTCTTTAACATGGCCAGATAGGAGCCCAAGGGAGTGCAGGGGAACTCAGCAGACATCCAGACATGCTTCCCCACAGCTCTGTCCAAGGATCTGGTGGCCTGTGGCTCAGCTATTTCTTATGCTGTAAATGTTATCTTCACTCACAACAAAGAATTTTGGCTGGTTGGTTGCGGTTTTTTTTTTTGTTTGTTTGTTTGTTTGCTTGTTTGTTTTTTTAATTTTTCCTTTTTTTCTTTCCTTGTTGGTGAACATATATCTTTTTTTTTTTTTTTTTTTTTTTTTTTTTTTTTTTTTTTTAGGAAAAATCAGGAATCCCTCAAACTCTTTTACCTTTCCAACTTAACCATTTTGATTTTTCACTCTGTATAAAACCAGAAATTCT